TGGACGGAACCCCAGACTGGCAGCAGGCTGAGCGGGGCCGGCAGCTGGGACCCTGGCTGGCAGGAGCCAGTGGACGGAACCCCAGACTGGCAGCAGGCTGAGCGGGGCCGGCAGCTGGGACCCTGGCTGGCAGGAGCCAGTGGACGGAACCCCAGCCCCGCTCAGCCCGCTGCCAACCTGGGGTTCTGGCTGCCGGCCCCTTGCCAGCCGGGGTTCCGGCCGCAAGCCCCGCACAGCCCACTGCCGGCCTAGGTGAACGGAACCCCAGGCTGGCAGTGAGCTGAGCAGGCCGGTGGCTTAAGATCAGCATTTTAATTTAATTTTAAATGGAACTTCTTAAACATTTTGAAAACCTTGTTTACTTTACAGACAACAGTAGTTTAGTTATATTATATATAGACTTATAGAGAGAGACCTTCTAAAAAACGTTAAAATGTATTACCGGCACGCGAAACCTTAAATTAAAGTGAATAAATGAAGACTCTAGCACACCACTTCTGAAAGGTTGCCGACCCCTTATGTAATACAAGCATTCAGTTCAGATGATGTGTAATGAGAGAGGTATTATGGCCTCTGAGCACAAAATCATCTGCTGTGTCCAAATACTAGTATTCCTCCCATCTGGCGTGGATAGCAGAAGGAAGACTAATGACCCAAACCTGCAATCCATTAAGCACGTGCTTCACTTTGAACATGAGGACTCATGAGCTTAAAGGGTTTACAAGATCATGCTAGACGCATGCCTAGAATAGCTTAAGTCATCCACCGTCCTGAAAGCTACACAAATCTTGTTTTAGAGGGTCACCCCAATGAGAACTAGAAGGAAGTTGAGTGTCCTTGCATTTGAGAAAAAGGGTGCAAATATAGGCATTATGATGGTTTTTACACTGTGAACACCTGTCCACAAGAAAGCATACTGAATACAATTCATCGGATTTGTCAGTAATGATTTATATAGTTCCATACGGACAAAACAGCTAAATTGGATTCAGACAAAAGGTGAAAAGTTTCATTTCCTAGTAACCAATCCTCCGAGCCAGCTACTTGATATAGGAACCAAAATAATTTTCTGAGTATAGGACATTTTAAATTTCAACCTTAACACTATTACTGTATCAGAGGGGTAGCCATGTTAGTCTGGATCTGTAAAAAGCAACAGAGAGTCCTGTGGCACCTTTAAGACTAACAGATGTATTGGAGCATAAGCTTCTGTGGATGAATACCCACTTTGTCAGATGCATGATGAAGTGGGTATTCACCCACGAACGCTTATGCTCCAATACATCTGTTAGTCTTAAAGGTGCCTCAGGACTCTCTGTTGCTTTTTACTATTACTGTAGTTGATCATAAACATTATATTTAAGTATATCTTAACATACATCACTGGAATAAAAAGCTCGAAACTTTAAAAACTAAATACTTTAAACATACATAAAAAAAACTTTTGGACTGAACAACAAACATGAGGAATCTCAGCTCCCTGAGCAGGTTCTTCAATGTGTTATGGACACTTAAGATTTATGCTGAAACACATTCAGAATCAAATCAAGGGTGATATAATACATTCACCTTCTTAATGATTCTTTGTAAATCATTTAAAGCCTACCTGAAGAATTTTGTAGAAACTGACTTCCATACTAGGCACCAACTGTTTAAGTCTGCTCATAAGATCAAGTGTTTTCAAAATGACATCAGCAGCAAGTTTGCTTTAAACAAAATACAATTG